TGTTTGTTGATTTATTGATGATAGCCATTCTGACCAGAGTGAGGTGGTATCTCATTGTGGTTTTTATTTGCATTTCTCTAATGATTAGTGAGGTTGAGCATTTTTTATATGTGTTTGCCATCTGTGTGTCCTATTTAGAATAATGTCTTCATGTTCTCTGCCCATTTTTTAATTGGATTGTTTGTTTTTTGGTGTTGAGTTGAGTTTTTTAAAGATAAAGTTTAGATATTAACCCCTTATCAGATGTATCATTGACAAATATCTTCTCCCATTCAGTAGGATGCCTACATGTCTAACTATTACACTGTTTTATACACTTTAACCTAAAAAAAAAAAGGCCCTCAGGCCCCCTGACTGCAGCCCATCCTAACCCAGCAGCACACCCTGAGCCTCTCTGAGCCCTTAACCCCATGTGGCATCCAAGCGCATGTGCTGGCCCTTCCGTCTCTGTGTGACTGTACCAATAGTACAGCCACCAATAGTACAGCCACTCCTATCTCACCTCCGTGCTCTGCAGCTTCCTGCCAATGCACCTGCAGCCCCCTCTTCTCCAAGGGCAGAGAGGAGCTAGGTTTTGTTTTTCTTTTTTCATAAAGCCCCAGATAGAGAACCACATGGAAGACATTACATGTGATTTTCCCAAAATCCTACTTCATTTTGTAAAGACATGAACCATAGATGCTAGAAAATTGGAAACTGTGTTACTTTCAATATAGCTACATTTATCTTTCTGGTAGTGAATCATTGCACTAGTAAGTAAACAGATGTATCAGAAGTCAGTTAAGATGTCTGACCCTGATGTCCCTCTCTTTGATGATGATAAAAACCTACAAGAACCACAAAGGGTCAGATCTACTCAGGTGTAAGAACTAGAAATGTATTAAGGGGGGTCCTTGTCGGCTATGGTCTGAATGTGTCTTCCCAACAATCCTATGATGGAAACCTGATGACCAAGGGGATGGTATGAAGGGGTGGCGTCACTGGGAGGTGATTAGAGGATAGGTCCCTCATGATTGGGATCAGTGCCCCTGTAAAAGAGGCCCCAGAGAACTGGCTAGTCCCTTCTACCACGTGGGGACACAACCAGAAGTTGTCAGCCTGCAACCCCAAGAGGGCCCTCACCAGAACCCCACTATGCAGGCACCCTGATCTTGGACTTCCAAATTCCAGAACTGTGAAAAATCCATTTCTGTTGTTTATAAACCACCTGGTCTGTGGTATTTCTTCTTCTTCGTCGTCGTCGTTGTCTTTTTTAGCAGCATAACGGACTACAACAGTGTCTAAATTTTAAAAAATGCTCAAAATAAAAATGATTGTTTTCCGTTTGCCACAAATCCTTTTCCTACTAAAACCTACCAGCCATTTCACTATTTTTGAAGAGAGGAATGATGCATTGAGACTACTAAAACGTTTTAAGGACGTTTTAAAGTTAGACATTTATTTTAAAGCTGTATAATCAAAGTGAAACTTAAAAACTTAGCAAGTGAACTTTGAGCGTTTGCCAAGTTGATAGTGTTCAGTTTCCTATGTCATTAAAACTGTCTGAAGCTACAGGATTTCTTTGGCATGAAGTTTTAATTCTGCATCCGCTCCACAATTCCTTCAAACCAGGTTACCTGAATTTTTAAAACTTGGACTATTGGTTGTGTCCTGGAGCCACAGCCTGGAGAGCAGCAGGCAGAGCAGGACCACGGTGCCCAGCAGCGCGGCCACGCGCAGCCTCCCCGCCGCCACCCACGCGCGCAGCCGGCCCAGCAGCCCGCGTCCCCACGGGGCCCGCGCGCGGCGCGCCAGGCTCTCTGCCACCCGACGCAGCCGCTCCTCCGGGCTCGCCCCAGCCAGGTCCTGCGCCAGGCGGTACACGGCGTTGGAGTAGGGGACGCCCGCGTGGTCCCGCGCCAGGCGCTCCACCAGCTCCCGCAGCTCCCGCACCTGGGCCTCCCGCTCCCCGCCCACCGCCCGGTTGTTGAAGGCGCACACCCGGCCCCCGCACTCGGCCACGAGCGCCCGCAGCGCGCGGTTGTCGGTGTCGCGCACGAAGTCCCGCAGCGCGCCCCCCGCCAGGTCCTCTTTCCGCGTGAAGAGCACGACGGTGCGCGCCAGCACGCCGTCCCCGAACAGCCCCTGGAGCGCGCTCACGGCCTGCTGGTCCTGCGCCGTGAAGCGGCCCAGCGGAGTCACCAGGAGCAGCGCGTGCGGCCCCGGCGCCGACAGCACGTAGCAGCGGCTGCGCTCCGCGAAGCCCGGGTCTGTCTTGGGCACTAGCGAGCTGAACAGGTCCGGGGTGTCCATGACTTCCACGTGCCACGGGTCCCACCTGCAGCTCCCCAGCTCGCAGGTTGTGGTCACCGAGGTGGCCCCCAGCCGGGAGAGGAAGCGCCTCTGGCCGAGGATGCTGTTGCCGGTGGCGCTCTTGCCGGCACCTGTCTTCCCCACCAGGATGAGCCTCAGCCTGGGCTCCTGCAGGGCCTGCGTGGCGTCTTCAGAACCTGGAGGGCAGGTGATTTGTCAGCTTCCAAACCTCAAAGCCACGTATCCTGCTTACCTGGGCCTCCCGGATGCCCTCTGAACAAAGCAGAACAATAGCGCCTTCACCTCTGCCTTTGCACCCAAACCCTCCCTGAGCTCAGGTGGTCGGAGCTCCTGCACTCCGGGCACCTTCACCTTCTATTTCTTTCACCTTTGGCTTCGCCATGTGCACCTGTGGGTGCTCAGCACCCGCTGAGCGTTTCTCTAGAGGACGCCCCCTTTGAATTCCAGACTTGACCTCACCTGACATTATCCCTGGCGTCCCCACTGTGCAGAGCTGTTCCTATTTGATGGCTTCAGTGGCGTCTGCCGTACCTCTCCCAGGGTCCATCCCACAGAGGAAGGGCAGGAGGGGGCAGGAGGCCGGGTGCTGAGGGGCTGTCTCATCCCAGACACCTGGGTTTGACTCACAGCCCCACCATCGCCAGCTGTGCAGCCCTGCGAATTGCTTAATCTAAGTGTTAATCCTTTGTGTAAAAAAAACGGGAATAACGATATAGAGTGTCTGTCCCAGGGTTGTTGAGAGGGTTGGATGAGATCATCTCTTTCCTTCTCCCTCTCCCTCTCTCCCTCCTCTCCCTCTTCAACCGGCTTCCTAGTCAGGCACCTGTTTACCCCTCATCCTGGTTCTCTGACATCTACCTGGTCAGCCATGCTCCCCTAGTGCATGATCTGACGCCCTCTACACCCTCTTCTGTGGAGATCAGGGTACGTTCATTCTCCTCATTTTACCCTTTCATAACGGAGGTGCAGGCTAGTCAAAGAAGTTACTATCTCACAGCTGGGCAGGGGCAGCGATCCACCTAAAATGCACATCTCAGGGCTCTTGCTGTTTCTGCTGTTTCGCCCCAGACACCTCAGAGACAGCCTGGGGCTTGTCTGTTCAGTCCTGAGTCCGCCCTTCCCTTCATCCCCAGAGCTCACCCGTGGGGGCAAGTGCGAGACAAGTTCTTACCATAGGCACTTTCTTCATCTCTTGCCATCTTCCGTCCTCCCATGCTTACCTGAAAGAGTCCCAAACACAGTTTGTTTTTTCATCCATTCGTCCAATAGGTGTAACCACCTACAATGTGTCAGGCAAAACCCAACGAGCAGGAGACACTACAGTGAAAACATGGTGTTTCCTGCTTGCCCTGAACCTCAGAGTTGAGGGAAGACATTGGAAGGGTCTGGGCTGGGGCTGGAATGATCCTGTGAGCTTTGCTGAGCTTGGTTTTGTGTTTTCAGGGACCTGAATGCAGAGGGCAGACGGGAGACTGTAATGCTCACTATGTGTTGGTGAGGAAGCTTGGATATTAATTTTTCCCAGGTAATTCTATGTCGCTGACAAATGCTGTAGATATCAAGTTTTCCAGGAGATTCAGCAGCCAGGGAGACTTAGCAAAAGCATGAGAACCAGAAAATGTGCTCAGCGACTTTGGGAACCATTAGGATGGTTGGCCTGGGAGACAAACGGGAAGGGAATTGGAATATTGTTTCTGGAAATTGGAAAAAAAATGTTATCTCTCAAGCTGATCTGGAGAGCCTCTGACGGTGCTGTCAGGAAGCCAAATATTTATCCTGTCTCTAAGTGTCTAAATATGGCTGGTGTGCTGGAGAGACTGGACAGTCCCCTCCAACCCCCACCATCCCTGCCCCCAATCCTGAGGCTTCTCAAAGTAAGGTGGTTACACCAATCAGTCACCATTTAATACACACATTCTGTGGTCACCGAGTCCCCAAGCACAGGCAGTCTCCCATCTGCCTCTCAGCCTCATGACAACTACCCTGCCCCCCTGCTGCTCCCCAGAGAGCAGATTTCAGGGCCTTTCCAGCTGCCTTGTGTCTCACCCTGTGGCCACTCAGCCTCCCCCATGCTCTGCCTGAGTCCTGTCTGTGCCTCACTGTCCATTTCAGATTCTGCCTCTTCATGTCGGCCACCTGGTTACCACAGGTGACTGTGTTCTCTCCCGTTGGCCCCGCACGAGGGAAAGCAGAGGGAGAGGCTGGCTGAAAACCTTGTC